TCACTTGGTCATTATTAAATTCACAACAGATTCAATATCTTCATTGGGGATATTGACCGCTAACTCCTCCTGTATGACACTTGGAATCGAATCTCCTTGTATTGTATCAAGGGGTAAAGGTGGGAGATCATAATCTTCAATCTTTTTACCGTGCAGGTTTAAGAGTTCATTCAAGTCCTTCAACAACATATTAGTCATGACCGATTCCACAACATCATTTGTTGTTTGATAATCCTCTATCATATGTGTAAAAAACTCATTCCTAAGGCTTCTAACATCAGTAGGTTCACAAAATATGAGAATCGTCACGAATAACCTCCTTAAAGCATATGGCATTCAGAGACTCGCCGCTTCAACCAAACAATCATGAATACTATGATCAGTCTCTAGAAATCCTCTATCCTCGACTGATTTTTTGAATGTACTGAAAGAAGTTCCATTATTTGTAAGAAGATATTCCCAACTGGTTGGACCTCTGACATGAGATAATAGTACTCGCAAGTAAAACTTCTCTCCCTTCGAAGGTGATACCGTATAGATTCTCCCGATAACTTTTCTTAGTGACCGTCTGTGATGCCATTCCTTCTCCCTATTATTCCAATAATAATGCTCTGGAATCTCTCTATAAAGATAATTTCTTGCTTCTGGATCTCTTAGGTTTAAAGCAAAGAATTGTGTGAGCATTGTTTTGGAATTGCGTTCATTATTTAACAAATCCACAATTCGCTGATGATCATAAAAGCGCACTTGATGGCGGTTCGACAAGTGGATCTGTAATCTTTCAACAGAAGGATATAATCGGTAAAGAGTGAAGCAAAATTCCATAATGCCTCGGGAGCACAAATCCATCTTGCATCAACATATTGTTGAACTTCATCCATGTATGATCCTTTGTGAACCTCCATAGCCGCATGATCAGGGCCCTTGTACACATATTTGTATAGATACTTGATACTTTTAATGCTACTGCAAATCTCTACATTGATGTGGCAGTCGTACTTTAACAGTAACCAAGGGTTATAAGGAACCACCCATCTATTGTCGATAGACCTGCCTCTACCTAATGATATAGGTTCATCAAACCTTCTTCTGTACTCAGGATATGAGTCAGTGCCTTGACGTGTTTCATCCAAGAATTGTTTTGGATATCTTTTTTTACAATGTCCATCTTTCATACATGGGGACTTCCGATTCATAACGCCGCAAGGTCCGTAGATCATATGTTTTAGAACCGATTCATGCAACTGTGGTTCACATTCTAGCTTAGGTATTTCTGCTCTTACCGTACTATCATACTCTTCTGGGCCACGCAATTTGTCGTTACTTTCTAAGACCAACAACATATGCACATGCGGAAATCCTCGTTTTTGAAATTCAGTGACATACATGTAGCTTTTAACCTTTCCTAAGACTCCTTTATTAATAACATCATCCTTTAATTGCTCGAATTTCGAATGAAATATTCTTGTTAGCAAATCTGGACGATCTTGTGGTGTTTGAAAAGGCAAAAGTTCTGATGTCATCTCACACCAAGAAGGATTGCATGTCATTGTCAGAAAAACATCTGGTTTACCTCCATGAAGAACAATAGCCATGCCATCTTTATAGCGTTGTGTCATGTCTCGACGACCTCCAATAAATGATGATGGCAATATTGTTCTTTTTCCAATGTTTTCTATGGTGATTCATGAAATGTATTAGTTTCAGAATACATGAAAGATTATCATTATAAGTACAACAACTAATTAATAATCTACAAATATATATTTATGCTACATTATTTAGTACCTGCATTAGTTTCACCGACATGCAAAGCATCCTGTAAACCTTGGTACACTTCAGCACGTATATCACGTTGGCGCTCTCTAATACACCTTAACCTCCATGATTCAATTTTTACATAATTGTCTACAACATATTGTTGCAACAGTCGACCCACATTTAACAACATTAATTGATCATTTGGGCGAATCTATAATTGATTGAAAAACATGTCGGTGTTGAAAGTGATGTGTTTTAAACTATGCTTATCTAAGTATACTATTTACTAAAATTAATCTAAATTTACCTAAAACATGTAACTGTAATATGCTCGACATGACAATCTTCGTCCATTACAATTTGTTGTGTTAACATCCCAGCCATATGTCCCAAAAGGAAATAATATATGATACTGCAGCGGATCATAATATCCCTTTGTCTCTTGAACTTTCTTTAGATTTCCATCACGATGAATGACATTAATATCCCTTCCATATTCCATATAATATGAATCTCCTCCAACAATAATTCCCGCAACTTGTTCTGCAGTTGGAAGATTATATTTATGGTGATTACTTGGACGCTCTTTAAGTATGAAGCTACATTCACCGATATTTGGAAGTTGTGACAGTTGTCTAAACCTAATTACAAAAGGATTAAACTGATGGAGCATTTTTTGTAATTTTTGAACTACATTTTGGTGGAGTTGTGGATTTTCTTGCATTCTATTATGTAGCTCATTATCTGTGTCGTAGATGTATAGCTATAAGAAACGCGGTCTGGCACCCTCATTTGGATAAAAACCTCCTATGTTATGGTAAAAAGCACCTTGAGCACGAAATGTATATATACCACGACCAGATGCAAGAATATTCTCATCAACCTGAACACCAATTGAAGTGAATGAGAGCACATGGTTGTAACTTCGAATACATTGCCTAAAATGCCTTCCTTCTACCGAACCATCCAAAAATAATTGTTGCAATTCTATAGGAGCATTAACTCGTGAAAATGATACCTTTCCACCAGTACAACACATATCACGTGATTCATGATGAAACGATTTTGCATTGCAATATCTACAGGAAATTGGATTAGCCAACCGGGACTTTGCCATCATCGAATTATTTTTGAAATTTCGAACAATATTGTGTCTTGCTCGAAAAGCGCGTCCTGATTCTACAGGAAGGAGTTTGATATTGATTACTAAATATTATTTAAAATCTAAAATACAAATAAATAATTAACACAATAAATCTAAATTAGAAGATTTAGCATTGCATAATTTTCAGTTTTATGTCACTTGAGTATAAGCTACATTATTTGGTAGAAAAATGTTTATGAACATACCTTGAGGACGACATGATGCACCATCATTTATTGCTTCCATGTTAACATCTGATATTACTGCATCCTCCAAAACTTCATCAACATCCATATCGCCTGATACAAAAATAATAATAAACATTTATATATATATATATATATATATATATATATATATATATATATATATATATATATATATATATATATATATATATATATATATATATATATATATATATATATATATATATATATATATATATATATATATATATATATATATATATATATATATATATATATATATATATATATATATATATATATATATATATATATATATATATATATATATATATATATATATATATATATATATATATATATATATATATATATATATATATATATATATATATATATATATATATATATATATATATATATATATATATATATATATATATATATATATATATATATATATATATATATGTTGAAATTACTGCTCGTATATGTAGGACAATATCTTGTATACCTATAGCAGAGTGACTATTGTTGATACGTTGGTTAGTTTATGTGAAATTATGATCTGCGGGTTTAAATACATAAAATGAGAGATGACAAATAAACAATATTATACAAAGTATGATTATAATGTTTATATTGATCATCACCAACCAAGTGCAACATCATTAACATGTATAATTCTACTTGGGTCGGCTTCATTGTCATGAGTTCCTTGAAAGTGTGATATTGGAGATCTCATATTTGTAAAATTTTGAAATGGAACTCTCCTCTGATTGTTCAGAGTGCGAGATGTTTGAGCTTGTTTATCTTTCTCTTTTCGCCGCCTATAATTGTCACGTCGTATCGATAAATAATTTTCTCTTTGTTCGAGGTTCATATTTTGTCTCCTCTTCCTTTCATTTTCGGCCCTTCTTTTCCTTTGTTATTGACTTGATATCTGATGGGTATTATTTTCCATTTTGTTAATGTAACTGCCAAACACATATGCAATTTATAAGCAACATAATTTCACTAATTATGTTGAAAAATATTGGTAAATATAGACGAGATTTAAAATAAATATATTTGTTTTTGGAAAAAAGAAGTTTACACCAAAAAGTATTATTTGTAAAACATATGTTAAAAATATAAATCAAAACTAAAATATAAAAAAGACGAAGAAGAAATGGGCAATCAATAAAAAGAAACATAAATTATGTTGGACAAATAGATGAAAAGATTTCATATTAACTAAACATTAAAATATAAAATGGAGTAAGAAATGAAATTAGTGTAACTTAATTATATGAAAAACTACTACTACAAAAATAAATTATATGAAAAACTGAGTTAATTTAAGTTATAGATAAAAGATATATTAATTAAAAAAATAATGAGAAAAGATAGTGTTATAGTAACTCATATGAAACTTTGAATAATGAATTATCTCAAAAAATGTCTTAAAAACTTGATGAAAGCCACGGTTTTGAAGTCAAATATTTATGTTAGCTGGCTTAACCAACGTAAATCTTTGTGTGTTCTCTATCTTTTTCCTTAACGTTCTTACACTTACAAATCTGGTTTTGGTAAGTGAAAATTTCTCTCATTTGAATAGATATAATCAATCCATTATAAGAAATCTGTTACATGGATCAAAATTTTTAAATTCCAAATTGGTTTTTGCATCAAGATTTTGTTATATATTGGTTCTCTGAACATAGAATGATTGCAATTCATATGATCTTATTTTGCATATAGGTTCAAGAAAATTTCCAGTTCCATTATCAATAAAGGTAAGGTTCAAAAATTAGTGAAAAGCTCTTAAATCTCAAGTTTAGCCACAATCCAACAAATATGACTTTTAATCATGAATATTGTTTGATATGACTGATTAATGGAATTTGACACCAAAAAACTAAATGCTAACTAACCCTTATTTATTTTGTTAAGAGTTCAAATCTAAATTAAATAGAGAAAAAAATCATGATAATAGTAAAGAAACACGGTAACTAATATCAAGAAATTGTCTAAGATACTCCAAGATGAAACAAATCCTATGAGATATTCTAAGATAATATCAAGATATTATAACATATTTTTGTATCTTCTAAGGCTCCCTCACAAGCTTTAACCTTGTTATAAAT